TCTCGACTTTGAAGTCTCTTTGCTCCGGCAAACTGTCTGCTCTTCATTCTTGGCCAAATACGCATTACAGTGAGGATAGGGTTATCAGTAGGTGTTGAATATGATGTGAATCGTTGAATTACTTATTACTTACTTCGTGAAATATAACAAATGTATAGAGTTTGAGAATGTAAAAGATCGCTTTTATTATGACGAAATATTGTTGGAAAATTTACGAATGATAAACTGCCAGCTTCACTCAGCACCATATGAAGTGCGCCTCGCGTTTATCTTACATTCATATCGTAGTGGTTTTTGATGCGTATTTGGCCTCTGCAGCGACTAGCCAACCCACATACTGCACAGTTTCGACATTTCGACAAGTCCTTTACCAAACAGGCCACCCAAGGGAGAAGCCCAACATATCATGCAAGAGTCGACCAGGGACATGACTTCCGAACCTTGCTAAGGTAACGTCGCCACCCACTTCTCAAGTCCCCGCCCCTTTGTAACGAACAACTCACCGAAAAGATGTGCTGGAATCGGGCCATTTTTGCTTATGCCGACTGGATTGTCGTAAATACCGGCAATTTGTCGTCGAACATAGGAGTGTAACTGAATTTGATATTTTTAGCCGTTCTTCAAGGAAATGCAGAGCTACGTAAGGCACTATCGATCGCTACTTAAATTGCTTACTTGTTTATACAGTGGCTCAATTTTCTGATAAATTTTCTCTATTTGATCTTTGAGATCAAAAGCTTGTGGAGTATTTTTTCCAGACAAATCGAAAGCACTTCGCCACATCGCTCCTCCATCCGAGGAAACCATTAGCTACTGCTCCTTAATAAGCTATCCATTTGCTTGAAATATTAATACTATTACTTTCAATTCCGTTAAGCCTTTCTCTCATAAAATAGTGCAACTGCAATCAGAAAAAATGAATTTTGCGTAAGCAAACCTTTGTTAGAAAGTGTGATCAGCTTCTGATAGGTAGGCTTTTGCTTTCTCAATCGAGTAAGGTACGAAATCCAAAGATGAGAGAGTCTCTTGGCATCTTTCTCAGTACGGAATATCGATTCAAGATCAATTTTCCTTGGAATGTAATATTAGTTGGCAAAACTCAACTACAAAGTAACGTCAGCGAACTCACTTCAGAGCACATGGAGGTGGTACATCGAGATCGCAGATCGTTACCTCACTTGCCTCACGATTCAACTGAAATTCAA